AACATTTCGAAAATCTACAACTTTTTGAAAGACAGCGACCTTCTTCGACGCATATAATATAACCAGTCGGCCGATAGCCCATGATGCTAGTGCTGCGTATTTTCTTAGTTTGTATAATAATTGTATTATTATGTAAGCTTTTATAAAATAAAAAAAAATAAAAAATAAAATAAAATTTTTAACACTTGTTCTCTTGTTGGCGTCTGTACAAGAGGTAACGCTTCTTAAAACTAAAAGCTTATAATTCAGTTGAAACTGTAAATTTCTAGGAAGAATATAAGGAGAATGAAATAATATAATAACTGACAAACAGTGCTGCCATATGTGAGTGCCCACACTCGCAAAACACAACAAAAAAACACATAGCTGTTGCCGATTTATAATATTTGTCAATTCTAAAATATTTTTCCGTGGCTCGAAAAAATCAGCGTCATATGTATATTTATGTCTCTTCATATTCTTAAGTATGTGAGAGAACTGCATTTTACACATTTTTCGTATACATATGCCGTACATATATTGTTTCTCTTCATATTCACTGGTTAAGTATGTGAGAGAGAGAACTGTAAACAATGTAAACATTTCACAGCATGAATTCTGTGGTCGTGAGGAGAATTCCTTACTTAAATTCTAACAAATGTTCGAAATCGACCCTGCACCTTCTCAATGTTTCAAGTTCTCTGCTTTAACTTGATGTTGAAAAGTTTCAATCGACAATCCCGAATGCTTTTTCATATATAAAGCACAGCAGTTTCTACTCCCAATATTTTTGTTACAATATAAATAAAAATGTAGTATTAATCAAAACTAATGTCATTTAGATAACAATAAATATCAATAATAACGGAATTAAATTGTTTTGATTTTTCCTTTAAAATTTTTCAGCTATTTAATTATCTTTGAATTCTTCAGTTTCTATGCTGGCAAGCTGAAAGGACTGAAAATATATTTCTTTATCTCAAACAAGGAAAAACATTAATTTAGGATGCATCTAAACTATAATACCCTTCACATGTTCAGGTTTTCATATAAGAACTTGATTTTGATCATATCGTATGATAATACATGCTATACTACTCCATCCCCTCAAAAGAATTTCGTAGATGATTGTATTTTTGCCTTGGACAATAATCCATGTGAAATATACCTTGTTCCATCATTGGTAGTATAATATTAAGTCGGACATGTATCAATGGCAGCATTTGTTTTATTAGCAAGTCATCAATTTATTTCAGTTTTATRGGCAAAGTCATGTGTACTAAATCCTGCTCTCTGAGAGCACTCGTCAACAACTCGGTATAAGGGAACTGTGGGACGGCATTTCAAATTCCTTACGTACAGCTGCAACCGAAACCATTGGTTTTCGGAAAGTGCAAAAGAACCGCTGGTACAACGAGGAGCGCCGTCTCGCAGCGGAGAGAAAACAAGCTGCCTACCTAGCAACGTTACAATCGACCACAACACGTTCGGGATGAGATAGATACCGAGAGTTGAAKAGGAAAGCGAGACGCATTTGCAGACAGAAAAAGAGAGGGGCCGAAATGCGTGAATACGAAGAGCTTGATAAGCTAGCCGACAGGGGTAATGCTCGAAAATTCTACGAAAAAATGCGGCGGTTTACAGAAGGTTTCAAGGCACAATTTCGCTTTCTTTGGCGACGCGATTTGAAGGTACCATTGGAAAGAAGATGTTCTCCTGATTAAAAAATACCGCAAACGCTTAGTTAAGAATATATTCGACCTTAAAKTTCAAAAATTYCTAGAATTCGAACATTTCAAGAAGCTAATTCACCACATTTAACACACTTTATTCACATTTTTCTCTTTTAATTAGTTAAATTAAACTATAAACTTTTAAATAAATCCACATTTTAAACTTTTAGCAGGTTTTTCACCTAAGAAATCTTTATTTTAAAAATTACATTTTACACTCGTAGTGAATACCATTTGTGTGCTCAAAATTACAACGAAATGGAGCGCTGCCCTGTGATAGTAAGGAAATTCGCTGACATTATTTTTTTTCCCAAAAATTCCTCTAACCATGCATATGAATTTGTTTTTTATTTTATTTAATAAACAAATAAGTAATATTATATAATAATGTTATAATATGTATTATATAATAATATTATATATATTGTCACCTAAAATTCAAAACAACGTATCAAAAATAAATGGGAATCGTTGACAAATATAATAACCTGTCTCTTATACACATCTAGATGTGTATAAGAGACAGAATATACAAAACAACATATTATCAAAAATAAATGGAAATCGCTGACAGATATAACAACCAAAATTTAACCATTTTATAACGAAAACTCTAATTTTGTTATATGAGAGAATATGAGTGCATGATAATCAAAACATATTACCAATCCACTTTATAACGAAAACTCAATATATATATATATAATTTTTTTTTTTAACTCAGAAAGGAGTACTACGTGAAAGTACTTCAGTCACCCCGGGTATTCGCTCGACCTGAATTCTACGTTACGCCATGCTGCAGGAGTCTGCCCCCGCAACATACTACAGTGGCGTCGCAAACCAACACCCCAGCGCGACAACCGCCCCTGTGTGTTCTGCAGTGAAACAAACACCACCTACACGTCACTCCCTCACCCCCAGGATCACTCTTGGACACCCGCGACAAACCACGATACTTCAATTTAACTGCAACGGACTCCAGAGTAAGATCGAGGAGATAGTTGCACCTATGAATCGGGAACGCGTATCGGTAGCTGCGGTCCAAGAAACCAAACTAAACAGCCGCTCAGATCTTCTGAGTTGTACCGGTTTCAACGTAATACGTAAAGATCGCGGGCGAGATAATGGTGGTGGCCTAGCCTTCATATTGCACAACAAAATGCAGTAAYGTCTAATCGACTGCGCGCCGATTACTTTCACCGATGAAGACGTTAAGAGTGTCATTAAAAAAGCGAAATCATCCAAATCCATTCGCCCTGATAGAATCAACATGCTAATGCTAAAGCATCTAGGCTTGACGGGAGTAAGTTACCTCACCAAGGTCCTCAACCTGTCACTGACCACTCTTGAAATACCCGATGTATCGGAAGAGTGGTCCCACTACTGAAACCTGGGAAACCCGCCAASAAAGGSGWCCGATAACTCTCCTCTCCCCAGTAGTGAAGACGCTTGAGGCCTTGCTACTCCCGAATTTCACTCGCCACCTGAGCCTAKCCAGTCAAGAGCATGGATTCCGAAAAGTGCACAGCACCACCATAGCACTTAGCGTCATAAACGCTCAGATAATTCGTGGCCTTAACCATAAACCACCCTGTGTRAGAATGATTCTCATAACGTTGGACTTGTCAAAAGCTTTTGACACAGTCAACCACACAACGCTACTGCAGGACATCGAAAAAACTACGCTTCCTCCAGGGCTAAAGAGGCTTGAGCTTAATATTGCAGTCGATGGCGTCAAAATTCCGACTGTCAATAACCCTAAGAATTTAGGCGTAACCTTCGATAGTCTATGCTCCTTCTCTCCTCATACGACCGCGATTATCGCCAAAATACAGAGCCACTACAAGATCCTCAAGTCGCTAGCCGGCAGCACATGGGGAAAAGACAAAGAAGCGTTTTTGGCAACTTACAAGGCAATCGACCGGCCGGTCCTTAACTACGCAATATGGTCGCCTGGATGAAGTGGAACGCAGATGAGGAAACTTCAAACCTGCCAGAATACTGCGCTCCGGACAACGACGGGATTGATGTCTCCCATAGAACATCTCCACAGTGAGACGCTTATGCTTCCTGTAAAGGAGCATAATGAACTCCTCTCCAAACAGTTCCTGCTGTGATATTTTCGAARGAATCACCCTTGCAGCCATCTGCTTGGAGCGGAAACCCCTCCCAGGAGCATCAAAAGGTCCTTCCTTGACTACGTCGACGACGTCGTACAATACGCCGACCGGAYCGTAYTGATCGCCATTCACTGTGGAACCATCAACACCTTCACCGACTCCCTCCCCGTGAATGGCGTTCTTGGAGTCAAATCACCACCTATTGCAGATGAAGAGCTCCAGTTGCCGCGAGAAACGCGAGTGCTGTGCGGAACACAATGCTCGCGACAGCCTGCAGCAGCACCACAGTGAACTAAAAATGGCTTTGTGAATCCTACTACATAAAAGTTTGTGARAGGGCAGCAACATAACAATGGCCGGCATGTACACAAATGTGTACACAAAACAGTGAAATTTTTAAGCAAAAAATAAGTAAATAGGTAAATTTATTTGTTTATTGTTATTATAAATGATGTAACAGAGCTATTTTATGCTTTTAWTTGTAAAATAACGTCAGGTTTCTTAGAGCTATGAGTAACTTTACATATTAGTGGCATCACCACTCTACCTCATCTCTCTTTCTTCCATTCTACTATCAACTCTACTGTCGTTGGCAAATATATTATTAAATTGAAGTTAGCGAGAACGACAACTGTCGGCCTGCACTCKTGTAGCCGTGCAGTTGTCAAAATAGGAATAAGAACGTGTGTATTTTAATACTTGACTGATGTCGTTTGCAGTCTTTTGCGAGCATTGTATTCCACACATGACCCTTGCGCAACTTTTTTCTGGATACTGCAGCAGGTTAAACTTCTACTTATCCATAATTGACCCAGACATACATGTCCTACATGCAACGGGCCTCGTATGATACTGGCCACCTCTTTGCATGCCCTATAAACCCTACTCATCTAACACCTTCCTCCCTTTGGTCCGACCACGTAGAAACAGCATGTTTCCTGGGCCTCCCGTTAGATGACCTCGACAACGCAAATGACCCTACCCTTACTACCCAAACGAGGATTAGATAATCGTTAAAACAACAACAACATAAGTGATTTTTAAGTTAATAAATTTAGGTAAAATTTTACAAAATTAAATTGAAATGTGAACTTATTTCAATGTTTAGAGTGTTTATTTAAATATACAGAGTGAAAAACGTGAATAAATTTAGTGAAAGATAGAAATATACCATGTGCTATTAGTGCAAATTTTTGAACCTTTAATCGTGAATATTTTTAAAAATATAAGTTATTTTCATATCATTTTTCGATATTCCTCCTCTCGAGAAGCTCCCCTATCCGCATATACCCCATTTACACGGATGTAATCAAAGTAATCGCGTAAGCGGTGTCTACGCCAATTAAGAAGAAGAAGATGTGTACTTTTTAACTGCATTTAACCTATTATAGATACAAAACTAAAGAACTAAAAAATTTATTCATTTTAATGGGCACACAAAATAAACTGCACATATGAAGAAGCACTTGGAGGAGTTTTGTCACGTTCACCTTAAAATCTAGTTTCATTTCCATTACGTGTGCGAATTAAATATTATATATTAAAATATAAAAATATTTCTATAAAATATTCTAATGGCTAATCCATCCCGTCAACAATTTTGCACATAATGCGATCCAACTGATCACTACGATTATTGGCATTACTCTCTTGTGTATCTATTTCCATTTTAACCTTGTCGGTGTTATCAAATTCGTCGTCACGTATTTCGGGTAATACCGCAAATGCTGTGTTAACTATTTCTCTTACTCGTTCCAAATGCTTTTTAAACCTTGTTGTAGTCTCTACACGCTGTCGCTTCTGCATCTCCATCATTACTCGCAAGGTTTCACGTGCCTGATGAGGTCGAAATTCATTCAGCAAATGGTGCATGTGAACAAACAGGAGGCTCAAGTCATCGATCTGTTGTATAAAGTAAAAATTAGAACTGTTTCCACCACTAACACAGTACTCTTGCCTTTTCGGTTCTTCGTGGGCTGTCGGGGTATTGAATCAAGAGATCAATAAGATCTAAAAAATTTACAAATAATGAATGATTGAGTTTTTTCAATTCCTTCCGACGGTCGAAATGTATAGGTATGAGACGTTTTATATTTTGAGATTCCAACGATCGAATCATTTCTTCATTATTGTACTGTATTCCAAACATGCTATAAGAATCCTGCATTGGAGGTGGAGGTCGAGGCGTACGATTTCTCCTTATGTTTTCCTCAGAAAAAAGATTGATGTACTGCGTCGGTGGCAGTGGTAAACTCATAACCTGTGATTCTTGGGTGGCCATTTTTAATACTTCTCTTTTGCCTTTATTTTTAGATTTTTACTTATTAACCACGAACGACACTTAATATTAACTATGTTTCACTAATTCACTATGTCTATGTATATCAGGGATAAAAACATATCGAACTGAAGTTGTCAAAAATTGACATCTCACTACTTTGTAGAAATGGGTTGACACAGGGAAGCTTGTTTAGCTGGTGTGAAGAAATTTTTAAGGAAAGCTCATTTTGAAATCTGTTTATTTATTTAAAACAAAACAAAAAATTGAATAAAAAGGAATAAGAGAAAATATTAATAGAAATTTTGGTATTTTTAGAAAATAAATATAAATTTAACGAAAAAATTCGTTTATTATTAWCTACGTTCAAAGATAACCGAGTGAAATTAGAAGCAATAATTGATTGTAATGCAAAAAAAGTGTGCGAAAAAGTTAAGAATATTGGAAAATTTGATAACAAATTGTGCGTTGTTTATTTCCTGCCATCTAAAAATATTCAAATTTGTTTTTGTTAATATACTTGCACATAATTTAATTTGCAATATAAAACTGCTTTCCTTTGATGCATTAAACGCAAAGGAGGCGGCAGACTTCAAGCGACATCTGTCAAAAAATAGCACAAATCGGTCATTTTTGAGCAGTGTTGCCTACTCAAATTTGGTAAATTCAGCTAAATGCACGAAATTCTTGTGCATTACAAACTTGCATTAACATGGGTCAAATGCGCGACAGACTGCACACGACATCTGTCAAATATTAAAATACACACGTTCTTATGGACGGACCTATTTTGACAGCTGCAGGCCGACAGTTGTCGTTCTCGCTAACTTCAATTTAATCCCATATTTGCCAACGGSAGTAGGACGACAGTAGAGATGACAGTAGAATGGTAGATAGAGAGATGAGGTAGAGTGGTGATGATGTGATGGAAATGTAAAATTATTCACAGCTTTAACAAAAGTGGCGTTGTTTTACAAATAAAAGCATAAAATAGCTTTGTTACATCATTTGCAATAACAATTGATAATTTGAAACGAATAAATTTACCTACTCGTATTTACTTATTTTTTGCATACAAAATTTCACTTTGAACGAAATATTAAAATTTCATTGAAGTGCAAGGTATTAGTATGCCGCAACGAAATTGTGTAYATGCAAAATGGACAACTGCGTTGTTTTGTGTACATGCCGGCCATTGTTATGTTGCTGCCCTCTCACAAACGTTCATGTAGTAGGATTTACAACGCCATTTTCAGTTCACTGTCGCGCTGCTGCAGTCTGTCGCGAGCATTGTGTTCCRCACATTAGATCTATAAGACGAATCTTGCAATTGTTTGCATTTCATTTTAGGGGGATTCTCTTGCTCTTGCAAAACCGTTCCACGGTGCTCGTATTGCAAGAGTTTTAGGACTTTCCTATATTATATTTGCAATGGCTGTAAAATATGACAGGTCATGTTTATTTTTGTGCAATAACACGAGCAACAATGTACCGKATTGAATAATAGAAGCTGGGAATTTGAATTTGGCGTTTCAACAAGTAAGTTCTTACTTGATAACTAATTTAATACGCATAATTATTTTAAATATACATACCCATAAATCAGGGCGATTTTTTTTAACTGAACTTTCTTTTTTGCAGATTAACAAGCCGAGAAAAAATTATTGAAGTAAGTTTACAAAAACTACTGGACATTGCTGGCCGTGATATCACAGGATATCTGTAGATATGATCGACATCACTTTGAGTCCACAACGCACTTTGCATCAGTCGCCGCCTCCACGCTATATGCAACACTACCAAGTGCACAACACCGTACGCATCGCACTACCAAAAACGGTAACATATCGCCAAGTATTCATTTACGACCGCACATCGCATCGAGTACGAATATATATATATGTATTTCGGCAACTCCGCTTTCTCGCAGTCTCGCACGTGTAGGCTTCTATGCAACCGTCATAGTCCTAATCGAGAGCTGCTCAACAACCAACTAACCATACCAATTGGGCCGTGATAACAGTACGCCGCATAGTCGTACTCTCACCGRGCAAATGAATTCGCTACATACATCAACCAGCTTAACTACACCAAACACCCGCACTAGGATCTAGTAATGGAACTCAACCTTAAAAAAGTCCAGCAGCACTTTATTTG